TTGGCGGGTGCTTTCGCACCGCCCTTCGCAGTACCGCGAGGCATGACGTGGTAGAAGTGGAGACCGAGAAGACAAGTGCTAATGCTCATTAGTCCAACTGTGAAATGAGCCACAGCCGCGTCCCCGCAGATTATCTTACCCTTTTCGACTCGGAAAATGAGAGTTTGTAATTCTGTCTCCCTCTTGTGATTGGTCGGTAAACCGAACCTAAGTGGGGGAGGATGTAACGGGATACGAACCCCAGTGTACCCAAGTTACATGAAGAATGGCCAGTCACTTGTAATACCTGGTACATGGTACCAGGGGCTCTAGGAGCCAATCATTGCATATCTACATAGCTTTACCATAGGCGACTTATAGTTTGTATTAGAAAATCAAGCTAAGCTTACGTATAAATACAATCAGTCTTAAACGTACCCTTAATTGAGTACTTCGTCCCCTTAGACAAGGGACACGTGAACTGTCGTTTACTTATAGTTTCTATACTCTTGGAAGCCTACTTCCTCAGCGCAAGGTGCTGTGTGACCCCGTCACATGCTGTGTGCTGACGCTGTAGATGCATGTGTTTTGGGCATGTTGTGTCCATTCCGTTCAACCAGGCCCGTAGTTGTACAATCAAAATAGGGGTGACTCTATCAGCGCGAACAAGGCACTGATTGGTAATGGCTATAAATGAATCAAGACCGGTAAATGAAATGCAGGTAGTTTTACTGTAGACACATATTTAACTAAAAAATTATTAGCATACCGCCCGGTATTTGCGTAGGCCGGTCCAGCGACGACCTCCCCTGCGAACGGGCCCGTTGCGCTGTCCAGTACTTGCTTTTTCTAATGCGGGTGTGTGGATGTGCAACCCCCAGAATGCTTTTATTACAGAGGAATTTACACAATACAGTACTAGTACAAATGCACTGTATTGTCCCAACGTAGAGTGCTGAAATTAATGTACTGGCCGTTCGTAATGCGAACCTATGAATCTTAAGTTCGATTTAAGTAATGATTCGTGTGTTGGTGCAGAAGGCCCTCATGTGGCCCGGTGTAGATAAACTAATTTGGTGTCTTGCAGCGTACTCAGCAGACATGTTTGCGATTGTCTGTCAGCAGCTAGTCGTCCGGGCGGGAGGAACCAAAATGTGCAACGCCGTGGGATCAGCTGAAACTCCTTGGGCGAAACGATGACTACTGGTGCGAGCACCATGGGCGCCGCATCGATATGGTGACAAAAAGCCCACCTGCTGCAGCGCGTGAAACTTCTGACTATCATTTCTTCAATAATATTTAATTTCATCTATAATTTAAAAACCCTTATTGTCTGTCGTGCTGTAATAACAAGGCAACCAGGACTGAGACCTGCCTAGAGCTAAGCCTTTTAGGAGACCAGTTGGACTACGTTCCCTCTGTTACCTTATGCGAACTTATCAGATGTGCTGAGTTGGTAAATGGTGCGAACCTAATGCAATGGTACTGGCTTGGAAATTGTTGCAAAACAGTACATATGTACTGGGTTGTGGAAATTGCTCTTTCATTACAAGGGTTTGTGCAATTCTCAGCTTTTTTTTGTTTGAAATGTTCTGTCTTCAAGACAGTTTCAGACACTTTACTAGTATCAATAGTAAAGTCGCTGTGGCTTGATCGTGCTGCGTCTCCCGTGATAATCACTCTGGGAGATGCAACTGTAAAGAGCTTTGCAAGATAGAATCAAAGATGGGACACCGTATGTTTGATACATGCGGCGATCCAATCTTCGAGTAATTACGGTGTACTTCGTGGTACTGAAATACACATTGTGCTTTGCAGCGATTCTGGCAAAACGAAATTAGATTTGCTGGATCTAAAAGCAGCACGTGGTGGATTTAAGATAAATCGAGTTCATAAAACCGTGCTCCTCGATGATTTACGATAAATTTTGAAGTGCAATTCTGGCACATACAGGGTATGCTGCATTTCGTTCAACCAGGCCCGGAGTTGTAAAATCAAACAGGGGTGCCTTTATCAGCGCAAACACAAGGCTGATGGCTATACATGTATTGTTTTACTGTAGACACATATTTAACTAAAATAAGGAGAATGCTTCTTTTTTCACACACATTTACGATGACGGATTGTCATTTTTAGCGGCTAAAAATGACGGCAAAATACATTCACAATCACTTCGCGAAACGCTCTCTGAGGCACAAGTAGGTAAAAGTTCGCAATCACTTCTCGAATCGCTCTCTGAGGCTCAAGCTGGTAGGCCATGAGGTTACTCTATCTCCTGGTAGTTGTGGTCACACTCGTTGGAAGCTGTGGTGCTATCTCAACGCCCAGCAAATCCGGGGCCCGCACGCGTTTCAGTAGCGAAGTTAAAACGCTCCTGAGGAGTTTGAAAGCCAAGTCTGTAAGTGACACCGACGACAAAATCGAAGAAGAGAGAGCGGGAGGGAACCTGGCTAAGGTCGATGACTTGGCCGAAATGGCAGCTAACAAGCTAGCAGACGACATCGTGGACGATATACCTAAATTGGTCACGACATTTGAAAACTGGAAACAGCTAACAGGTACAGAGGCTTTCAAAACCCCCGTTGCTGTAAAGTTGGCAGAGGCGTCCGAGGCCAAGTGGTGGAAAGTGTACAATTTGTACGGGGAGTTTAACATATTAGGGAAGAAAGCTTTCATCGAGAAGCTCGAGCATATCAAGAAACAGAAACTCCAGGCACCAGCGCAGAGGTAGAAGCGAATTATGTAAGTGTTTAGCAGCGAGGCTTCCCCAAAAACACAAACTGTAGCTTACTTCAAAGGGTGAAAAATAAAACGCGATGAAGTCAACGACAAAAACGAAATTCTCCATCGGCTAAGATTCCCAAGAACAGCGTCTCGATTTATTCGCAAGGGCGATATTCTCTCGTACTGTATTGCTGAGCACTGATATCACAACCACGGGATTTTTGCAGTGTTATGGGAACGTTGCCGTGAGGTTGCCAGCGGTTGTATCGCATCTCTACGGCTTGGACGTCGCAACTAATGGTGTTGATGTCTCAGAATTAATTGGTCTTATTAGCGGCAACGATAATGCTTAAGTAACTAGAATGAGCTGTTCCTCCGCTTCCACAACGCCTTGGTATAGCACAGATGAGTACAGCAATCACAGAGGACGGATTTTGAATGCTACGTCACGCATCATTATCTGCGCTGTTTTAGCGTTTTCTACCACGTCTTGAGATGGAGCCGACCTGCTACGTTTCTCGTCAGTACAAGTGCAAGATCCCCTCACGCTTACGGAAAAACTCGTACGGACAAATACCCCAGTACCTATGAGTAATACCTTTTGTCTGGGATCGAGGGAGACTTGTATTCGTGGAGAACACCTGAAAACTCAGCTAATAACGCTTAGTGCACACGTGACCTTCGTTCACAACCAC